CGCGGCCGCGTCCACTGCCGCCCCCACCACCACCCCCGCCCCTGCCACCTCCCCCGCCGCTGCCGCCACCACCCCCACCGCTGCCACTAGTCCCTCCAGCCCCACCACCACCCCCACCGCCGCCACCACCCCCACCACCGCCTCCCCCGCCGTCACCTCCGCCTCCCTTGCCCCCTTTGCCCTTGCCGCTGCGGTGCCAGCTCGAGGCAGACGCAGTCCCCACCTTCTCAGCACCAAGGAGGTTGACAGCAGAAGCAGAGGCTACAGAGGGAAGAAGGGGGGAAGGGGAACACCCCTCGAAGAAAGGGGTGCGGGGGTCGCCACGAGAGGCACCTACAACGACTATGCTAGCCTCAGCTGCAAGCAGTTCCTTCTCGAGGAGGGCAATGGTGAGCTCAGTGGGGCTGCGAGCTAGGAAGTGGTCCCTGACTACACGCAGAGAGTCAGGGAGGCGGGTGACTAGGTGGCAGAGAGTGAACCAGAGCGGGGGGGGGGTTGGTGGCAAGAAACTCATCAGGCATAGCGGCACGGAAGCGGGCCTCACTAGTACGGAGGTGCGTGATGAGGTCAGCGACTGTGTGGAAGGAGGCGAGGTCGGGGAACAGGTAGGGGAGGGAGAGACGGCCTAGTGCGGCAGAGGCAGGTGAGGAGTAGCGGGCAACGACAGCAGTGTACAGTGCCTGTGCAGTCTTGTGCTGGCCAAAGTGCGCGCGCTCATCTATCGGCAGGGAGTTGCGAATAGCAAAGCGAGCGTGGGCGTCACGAGTCTGCCACTGTGAGCGGGCAGTGCTGTCAGCAGTAGCAGCTGGGGCAGTGGCATGGCCTAGGGTGTGATCGTACAGTGAGATGTCCTCCTTGGCAGTGAGCTGTAGGAAGAGGTGCAGGTCATCTAGCCAGGTGTCAAACTTCACTGGGCGGCCCTCAGCATCGAAAGCTAGCACAGGAGGGCTAGCCATAGTAGCAGTAGAAGAAGCAGTATAGTAGCAGTAGGTGCACCCTAAAAGCAGTAGGCAGCGCGACTCAGGTAGGGCGGCTCGGTCCAGAGAGGCTGCTCAGTACGGGCGGCGCGGCTCGGTTCAGGTAGGGCGGCGCGGCTCGGGTAGGGCGGCGCGGCTCGGGTAGGGCAGCGCGGCTAGGTTCGGGCGGCGCGGCTCGGCTCGGGCTGGGCGGCTCGGTTCGGGCGGCTCGGTTCGGGCGGCCTGGTTCTGGTGGGCCGTGGCTGTCGCGTGAGGGGCGCTAAGGGGCGGCGCGTGGGGTCGACGGGGCCGCTAAGGGGTGGGTGCACGGGGTCGACGGGGCCAGTGGGGCCTCTAGGCGGGGCGCACGTGGGGTCGACAGGGCCAGCGGGGCCTCTAGGCGGGGTCGACGGGGCCGACGGGGCCTCTAAGTGGGGCCGATGGGACCTCTAGGTGGGGCGCGCGGGCCGACGGGGCCTTTAGGTGGGGCTGACGGGGCCTCTAGGTGGGGCGCGCGGGCCGACGGGGCCTCTAGGTGGGGCCGACGGGGCCTCTAGGTGGGGCGCGCGGGCCGACGGGGCCTCTAGGTGGGGCCGACGGGGCCTCTAGGTGGGGCGCGCGGGCCGACGGGGCCTCTAGGTGGGGCCGACGGGGCCTTTAAGGGGCGGCGCGCGGGTCGCTAAGGGGCGGGTCGCGGGGCCTTACGAGGCCGTTAAAAAGAGGGGCGCACGAGGGCGCTAGGGGAGGTGCTCGAGGGCGCTCCGACAGTGAGGCGCACGAGGGCGCTAGTAGGCAGTCAGCAGTGGTGGGCCCTAAAAAATCGGTCCTAGCGAAGGACCTACTCTGAATACCATGTTAGAGAATGAATGAATGAATTGAAAGAGAAGTGAGTACAAGTACCTAAACCTAGAATTGTGTACCCCCTAAAGGATAACCCACTGTAGCCTAAACAACTGCAACATATATAATGTTTGACATGGAGGTCCTACTGGACCTGGAGGTGCTGCTCTTGACTCTGCGGTTGGAGGCCATGGGGCTGGAGGTGCCGGTTCTGGGGGTGTTACTACTGGTCGCACCGGAGCTGGAGGTTCTGGAGCTGCTGGTGGCGCTGGAGCTGGAGGTGCTAGAGCGACTGGAGCTTCTGGTGGTGTTACTGGTGCTGGTGCTGTTCCTGCTGGTTCTGGGGGTGCTGAGCGGCCGCGGCTGTACTTCGTTCCGCTCCTTCAGCAGGTTCTTGGTCTCCCGCCTTCTGCTGGTCGTGCCCCTTCCTTAGAGTGTCCGGCGCCTGTCCTGTCGCAGTTACAGCTACAGCCCACCTCTCCACTGCTTGCTCCTTCTCCTTACATTGGTTCGACTGGAGGTCTTGCTAAGCGTCGTGAGCCTGCGTCTCGTCCTGCGTCGCCTATTCGTACTTTTCGCGCTAGTGGTCGTGGTTCGCGTCAGCGTCCTCATCCTGTCCCTTGCACGCACCGGATGGCACTTCGTCCGCCCACTGCTCTGCAGCGTGTCTCTCTACCGTCTACTCATGAGTCCTCTCTTCCTGCCCTTGCTGACTCGGAGTCTGACTCTCTTCGTGCGGCTAGTCCTACTATCACGCGTCTGCTAGCCACAGCTGTCACTGACCTGTCGTTTGAGTCTGCTGCTGCGTCTGCCTTAGTCGTTGAGCTTGTTGACTTTGCTGCTCACTGTCGTCTCGACTACGCTGCTAGTCTTGTTGCTGAGTCTGAGTCTGTCTGTCCTCCGTCCGTCGGGGTTGAGTGTGCTCTTGGTACGGACGTCCTTGAGGACAAGCAGGAGGACCTTGAGTGCCTTGCAGCCACTGCGCCTCATCTCGTGTCCATGCTGCTTGCGACTAAGGGAGACCCGGATGCACCAAACATCCCGACTCCGCGTTCTTACGCTGAGGCGATCGCGGGTCCCTACTCCTCTCAGTGGCAGACAGCCATGGACGCAGAGATGACATCCTGGAAGTCCACAGGCACTTACGTCGACGAGGTTCCCCCTCTTGGGGCGAACATTTTCAGGGTGAAGCGGCCGCCGGGTTCTCCGCCTGTCTTCAAGGCTCGTTACGTTGCTCGAGGCTTTAGTCAGTGAGAGGGAGTCGACTTCTTCTAGACCTTCTCCCCCACCCCGAAGATGACCACTCTTCGGGTGCTGCTGCACGTTGCCGCTCAGCGTGACTACGAGCTTCACTCCCTTGACTTCACCACAGCCTTCTTACAGGGCAGCCTGCACGAGGAGATCTGGCTGCGCCGCCCACCTGGCTTCACTGGGTCGTTCCCTCCTAGTACCCAATGGAGCCTCCAGCAGCCAGTCTACGGTCTCCGCCAAGCGCCGCGTGAGTGGCACGACACACTAAGGACTACAGTTGCGGCTCTTAGGTTTGCTCCGTCGACTGCTGACCCGTCGCTATTTCTGCGCACCGACACTTCGCTGCCGCCGTTCTACATCATCGTGTACGTTTAGGACTTGGTCTTTGCCACTGCCGACACTGAGGCTCTCGCCCTGGTGAAGTCCGAGCTGTAGAAGAGACACATGTGCACAGACCTGGGTGAGCTGCGCAGCTACCTTGGCTTGCAGATCACCCGGGACAAAGCACGCCGCACCATCACACTGACTCAGCCACACATGGTGCAGCAGGTCCTTCAGCACTTCGGCTTCACCTCGTCCTCGACACAGGCCACTCCTCTGGCTACAGGTCACTCGCTCTCAGCTCCACCTTCGGACGAGTCCATAGAGCCGAGTGGTCCTTACCCAGAGCTAGTGGGCTGCCTCATGTACCTGATGACCTGCACTCGTCCTGACCTTGCATACCCTCTTGGCCTTCTGGCTTGCTACGTGGCTCCTGTTTGGTATCGAAAGGTGCACATGGATGCTGCTAAGAGGGTACTACGCTACTTGTGCAGTACATCGAGCATGGGGCTCGTTCTTGGAGGACGGGGCGACGTTGTCCTCACTGGTCACTCAGACGCTTCTTGGGTTGACGACCAGGCTACGCAGCGGTCGTCACAGGGTTACACCTTCAGCCTTGGTTTGGGCTCTGTTTGTTGGCGTTCTACATGCTCTTCCTCTGTTCTCAGCTCCAGTTGCAAGGCTGAGATCTACGCCACAGCCATGGTTGCACAGGAGTTACGCTGGCTTACCTACCTGCTGACCGACTTGGGAGAGCGGCCTCGTTCTCCTCCAGTGCTGTACGTAGACAGCAAGGCCGCCATTGCCTTGTGTGAGGAGCATAGACTAGAGCACAGAACGAAGCACATCGCTCTGCGTTACTTCCTTGCTCGAGAGTTGCAGCAGCGTGGTCAGCTTCGTCTTGCTCAGGTGGCCACTCAGGCCAACACTGCTGATATATTCACCAAGGCACTTTCACCTGGTGATCATGAGCGCTTTTGTACTTTGTTGGGCCTTGTGCCTACCTTTCCTCACTTGTTGTAGGCTCTGCCTGTACTGTGATATATATGTATATACCTGCATGCTTGCTCCGGCTAGGTAGAGATCACTGTGCTGTTGTTGTTGCATATATACCTCTGCATGTGAACTGGCCTTGTGGCCCTTTGCTTGTGCTTAGTGTGTGTGGTGATGTTGTGAACCACCCTAAGCTTGCTTTGCTTCTCTTGAATGGTCTTGTGACCCCTTGTTCTCCCCCACTTTGCCTATGGGGGTGAGTCAAAGTATATGCATGTTATTGTGTAGGCTGTAGTGGGGTAGCCAATATGGGGTACAACCCCTGTTAGGGTTTCATACATGTACCCAACTCTTTCATAGTTCATTCATTCCTGCTGCTAGGTTTTGACAGATGATGTTTGTCGAGGGTTGAAGAACTGTAGCAAGACAACAAGGGCGAGTGAAAATATTCAGGTGGTCGTGTTGAGATAGTCCAAGGCGGCTGCTTCGTGGAACCTCCCCAGTCCTCCAAATCCCCCTTCCACACTCCTCGACAACCCTAGCACCTCTCCCCCAGCTCCCCCACACTCTCACACCCACCCCCCCCCCCCCCGCGGCAGCTCCAGCAGTGGGAGAGAAAGGAGGAGGAGGGGAAGGGGATCACACACACCCATCACCCCCATACCCGCCACCCCCATAGCCTCCGTTCCACAGCTGCGTGCGCAGCAGGGAGACGAAGAAGGGGGGGGGGGGAGAACAGGGGCAGCATAGGCACGAGCAGCAACGGGCGGCAACGGGCAGCACAGGCACGGGCAGCAACGGGCGGCAACGGGCAGCACATGCACGGGCAGCAACGGGCGGCAACGCGCAGCACAGGCACGGGCAGCAACGGGCGGCAACGGGTAGCACAGGCACGGGCAGCAATGGGCAGCACAGGCACGGGCAGCAACAGGCGGCAACGGGCAACACAGGCACAGGCATCAACGGGCGGCAACAGGCAGCACAGGCACGGGCAGCAACGGGCGGCAACGGGCAGCACAGGCACGGGCAGCAACGGGCGGCAACGGGCAGCACAGGCACGGGCAGCAACGAGCGGCAACGGGCAACACACGCACAGGCAGCAACAGGCGGCAACGGGCAGCACAGGCACAGGCAGCAACGGGCGGCAACAGGTAGCACAGGCATGGGCAGCAACGGGCGGCAACGGGCAGCACAGGCACGGGCGGCAACAGGCGGCAACGGGCAGCACAGGCACAGGCAGCAACGGGCGGCAACAGGCAGCACAGGCATGGGCAGCAACGGGCGGCAACGGGCAGCACAGGCACGGGCAGCAACAGCACAGGCACAGGCAGCAGCGGGCGGCAACAGGCAGCACAGGCACGGGCAGCAACGGGCGGCAATGGGCAGCACAGGCACGGGCAGCAACGGGCAGCACAGGCACGGGCAGCAACGGGCGGCAACGGGCAACACAGGCACGGGCAGCAACAGGTGACAACGGGCAGCACAGGCACGGGCAGCAACGGGCGGCAACAGGCAGCACAGGCACGGGCAGCAACGGGCGGCAACGGGCAGCACAGGCACGGGCAGCAACAGGCGGCAACGGGCAGCAGAGGCACAGGCAGCAACGGGCGGCAATAGGCAGCACGGGCACGGGCAGCAACGGGCGGCAACGGGCCGCACAGGCATGGGCAGCAACAGGCGGCAACGGGCAGCACAGGCACAGGCAGCAACGGGCAGCAACAGGCAGCACAGGCATGGGCAGCAACGGGCGGCAACGGGCAGCACATGCACGGGCAGCAACAGGCAGCAACGGGCAGCACAGGCACAGGCAGCAACGGGCGGCAACAGGCAGCACAGGCACGGGCAGCAACGGGCGGCAACGGGCAGCACAGGGAGGCAGCCGTACCGAGTCCAAGAGCGGCGGCGCATGCAGCTGCAGGGTCGGCGCCGTGGGCTGCTACTGGGGCGGCTCGCGGGGTCCCTGGGGCGGCATTGCGGGCTGCTGCAGGGTCGGAGCCACGGGGTCCAGGGGCGGCTGCTGAGGTCCAGGGGCGGCTTCACCAGGGGTGGCTGCTCCAGGGGCCAGGGGCGGGTGCTCTGGGTCCAGGGGCGGCTGCACCAGGGGCCAAGGGCGGCTGCGGAGGTCCAGGGGCGGCTGCACCAGGGGCGGCTGCTCCAGGGGCCAGGGGCGGCTGCTGAGGTCTAGGGGCGGTTGCACCAGGGGCGGCTGCTCCAGGGGCCAGGGGCGGCTGCTGAGGTCCAGGGGCGGCCGCACCAGGGGCCAAGGGCGGCTGCTCTGGGTCCAGGGGTGGCTGCACCAGGGGCGGTTGCTCCAGGGGCCAGGGGCGGCTGCTCTGGGTCCAAGGGCGGCTGCTCCAGGGGCAGCGGTGGCTGGTCCAGGGTCCAGGGGCGGTTGCTCCAGGGGCGGCGCTGGTGCATGGCAGGCCCGCGCGCGGCTGCAAAGCTGGCCTGCCACCCACTCAGTCACCAGCTGTTTCCGTCAGTTCAGAACCCATCTGGGGGCATAATCTGGAACTGGGGACTAGACCTAGGTATTCCGAGACCGACTTTCACGGATCCTAGAGGCATCAACGCCGTTGACCCCGTCGCCGAAACTGCTCCCGCCGATGATGTTTTAACAAAGTCACACGCAAACTCCCACTGGTTCTTTGCAGATGTTTCACCCATCACTCGTCGCTGGCAGGTAAATCCCAAACTTCGGCTGCTCCCACGCTCCCTTTTACTGAAGAATTTCCCGCGGTGTCCGTTTAAACACCAGTGGGTTCTAGGTATCCCCGCCGCTGTGTTTCTTGCCAGGCGACTTTAAACGTGACCCTTCAGGCGAAGTCCCCCAACGGCTCAACCGCACTCCAAGAAGCGAAGAAACACCCGCAGCTCCAACTCTTTTTTTTTTTTGTAGAAGAATAACCCGAAAATCGTGGTTGAGGCAGCAGTCCCGAAGTCATTCTCCGCCGTGTAGCCCCGACGTTTCCGCCGTTAACCCTGGTACTCTGATTTTTACCCATCTTCATACCCGTCGAAACCACTTAGCAAATCCCAGGTATCATTGGCAATGTACCGCTCGCCGCGCCTCCATGTAACAATATCAAACCCTTTCGGGGGTCTACCGAATAGACTCCGAAATTCGCGGTGGATTGGTGCACGGGCTCAACCTCTCACTCAATTGATCTGCTGGATCACCCACAACTTTCCCTCCGTCTTCATATATTTCATATTCACCCCCCGACAATTCCGCGTCCCGCCGTTCACAGCCAGCGTCCGCTTTTTTCGGATGGGGTATCATCGTTGTTGCCCGCGCTAACCCGGCCACGGTGGAGAGGCAAAAACTATCGGAGTCGGGGTAGCCTTAGTTAAAAGGAACTCGCCCAACCGATTTGCAGCCCGCCGTGCCTATCACGCCACGAAAACTCCACAGCTTCCCAGTCTCAGCTTCGCCGCTGCGCCGTCACATCGTGTAGACGCCCGAGTCAGGAGAAACCTGTAAACTGCACCAATTTTGTCCACGCAGCTCCCCGAATTTTTTCGCGTGCCATTCACCCAGCCCGCTTTTGTCGGAGTAGAACAGTGCCGCGAGCTCCACTTTTTTTTTGTCGTTTCTGTACAGCTGTTGAACGAGCACCAATCCAGGTGCCTTTAACCAGCACAGGGTAGGCACGTGTTCACTCCCCGTTATTCAGCAAAGTAGGTTGACTGCATGAGTCAGAACCAGGACTTGGTGGGGATGGTGAGGTTTCGGGCGAAGTAGGGCCGCATATCGATTCCACCGGCTTTTAATCTGCCCCCCGCAACGTTCTTCAAGCCTCGCTAGTTGTTGGACCGTTTCTTCCCGTGTGTCCCGGCAGCCTGTACCTACCCCTCAGAAATTGTCGGGCGGTACCTTGGACGCCGTTTAATCGTGGGTTGTCAGCAGCTGTCCCCGAAAACGAAATCCCTGGTCAGGAGAAACCGCTCTCGATATTGCCGGCCAGCTTGCAACAACACCAGGCATGCAGCGTCGCACGAGTTGTAATCGAGGTGTACCTGCCTCGATTTCCCTTGCCGCCTGCGTCCCACTTCTGCTAAGTGTGATATGGCCACTCCGCTTTTCGTTGCAGCCCGTAAGTGTCGCGAGTCCGAAGTCCCTTCTGTCCACGAGCACTTCTGCTGAAATATTCGATGACGCGCCCGCCATGCAGTAAAAGCCGCTGCACTATCAAATGGGCGGGACGGCAGTTGACCCCGCATAATTCGAGCAGTTCGCGTGTCGTCTCTCCTCGTCCACCGAGATTTTCGGACGCAAACTCCATTTGCGCCTGGCGAGTTCCCCAACAAACTTTTCTCCACAGTTGCTCCGAAATAACGCCCACGGTGACGCACGTCCCTTGTCGCCAGCTACCGAGCCACACTCCGTGAATCACGCGCGCAAGATGATGACGAGCCACCGTTGTCACTTGCCGCATGGGACGACTCCGAAGTTGACACGCATCTGTTGACTCAGGTCCATCGTCGTCAAGTGCCACTCCTCGTGACGACTTCCGAAAATTTCGTGCAGGTGCCTCCGCCACCGCCGCCACCCCCAGCCGCCTCCTCTGCTCCCACTGCCACCCGGCCGCCGCCGCCTCGGCCTCCACCCGCCGCCACCGATGCCCCCAGCCCCACCACCACTCCCACCGCCACCCCCACCCCCTCCGCCGCCTCCACCGCCACCTCCACCGCCCCCCGCCTGCTCCTCTAGCACCCTTGCCCCCCTTGCCCTTGCCCGTGCGGCGTCTCTCGCTAGGGCAGACGCAGCGCCGACCGACTCAAGGCCAACGAGGTCAGCCGCAGTAGCAGAGGCAACAGAGGGCAAGAGGGGGGAGGGGGAACACCACTCAAAGAAGGGGGTACGAGGGTCACCACGAGAGGCTCCTACAGCGACAATACTCTTCTCAGCTGCCAGGAGGCGCTCCTCGAGGAGGTCAACGGTGAGTGTGGTGGGGCAAACAGAAAGGAAGTGGTCCTGACCGAGCGAAGGGAGTCAGGGAGCCGGGTGACTATGTAGTAGAGGGTGATGTACATGGGGGGGGGGGGGGGGGGGTTCTTGGCGCAGAACTCAGCAGGAAGCGCAGCGCGGTAGCGGGTGTCACTAGTGCGAAGGTGCGTAATGAGGTCAGCAACTGTGGGAAAAGCGGCGAGGTCAGGGAACAGGTACGGCAGCATGAGGCGGCTAAGGGCAGCAGTGGCAGGGGAAGAGTAGCGTGCAACTACAGCGCCTTACAAGGTCCTTAGCACTCTTGTACTGACTAAAATGCGCACGCTCAGTGGTCGGTAAGTGACGGCGCACAGCAAGACGGGCAGCAGCATCGCATGTGGCCCACTGTGAGCGAACAGTGCTGTCAGCATCAGCAGTAGGGGCAGGAGAGGCACCAGACGTGAGGTCAAACAGGGAGAGACCGTCCTGTCCTATCGCACTGTAGGAAAAGCTGCAGATCATCGACCAAGACCTCAAATTCGACAGCCCGACCCTCAGCATCAAAGGTAAGAACACTAGGGGTAGCCATGACAGCAGCAGCAGCAGGCTAGCAGTAAGAGCAGCAGGCTAGAGGCAGCCCAGTGGCAGAGGCGCTGCTCGGGAGTGCTCTTACCAGGGCGGGAGGGTAGAGTCCCGCAGGTGGTGAGGCAGGGCCGAGGCGCACCGGCGGGGACAGGGCCGCGGCAGGGCGGCAGAGGAGAGCCGCTCCCCGACTGCAGGGCAGGGCCGGGACGGCGGCGGCGGCGGCTCTGTCGGCGGCGGCGGCGGCGGCGGCTGTTGAGGGCGGCGGCGGCTGCTGTCGACGGCGGCAGCGGCTGCGATCTCGTCAGCGGCGGCGGCGGCTGTCCCGACGGCGGCTGCGGCGGCGGCGGCCCCGGTAGCGGCGGCGGCTGCGGCTTCTGTTGGCGGCGGCGGCGGCGGCGGCGGCTGCGGGAGGGCCGTGATGGGGCCAAGAAGGGCGGTGACAGGGCCGAGAAAGGGTCGCGATGGGCCGAGAGGGGCCGCGAGGAGCCCGCGAAGGGCGGTGAAGAGGCCGCGAAGGGCGGCGGCGGGGCCGGGATGGGCGGCGACGGGGCTGCGAAGGGCGGCGAGGGGCCAGAGGGGCCGCGAAGGGCCGCAAGGGGCGGCGAAGGGCCAGGAAGGGCGGCGACGGGGCCGCAACGGGCGGCTACGGGGCCGCGAAGGGCGGCGATGGGGCCGCGAAGGGCGGCGACGGGGCCGCGAAGGGCGGCGACGGGGGCCGCTAAGGGGCCGCGAGGGGCCGAGAGGGGCCGCGAAGGGCCGGTGATGGGGCCGCAAAAGGGCGGCGACGGGGTTACTAAGGGGTTGCTAGGGGGGCGCGATGGGCCGCTAAGGGCAAGGGACGCGACGGGAGGGCGGCACACTGGGCGCAGCCTCGGGCAGGGGCGACACGCGCTCCGGGCAGGAAAAAAAAAAACTTGATTTGGTGGGCCCTAGGAAAAGTTCCCACTAGGGAACCTGCTCTATACAATGTGAAGAAACGAGGAATGAATGAACTAGGAAAGAGGTGGGTACAAGTATGAAAACCTAAAACTGTTGTACTCCATAGTGTCTACCCCACTATAGCCTACACAAACTATAGCATATAAGTTTGACAAAAACCGCAGCGGAATAGTACTCACGTTTAATGTCGCGACAGCTACAGCTGTCCGTT